TTCGTGGATATCGAATAAAACGCTTTCAAATTTCTTTGATTTATCTCTCAAAATGTCAAAGAGAATTGTGTCTGCAATTTTAGCAAACCCATTTAGGCAACATGTGTAGCTTGTATTTCTCTGCTTTATGTAATCATTTATGACGTTATTACTTGTTCCAAGCCCGCTGTTTTACTCATTCTTCTGGCAGGGCTGTATTCCATCCCTAATCATTCATGATTTACAAACAACATTTTGTGGGTTCACAATTTCATGCAGCAAATACTAACGATATTGTGGAGTTAAAAATAATGCTACTAAGATCACCCACAAACTAGTAAGCACTTTTTGTTTCTTTACCTTCGGTTGAAGTGATATTGTCAGTCATAAGCAGTGGACCAGGTTTCTGAGTAAAAGCATCGTTCGTAATTCGACGGTTTTCGTAAATGGCATTCAACATGCATGCAGAAGTGTCTGAACTTGTTGCGGTGGTTGAATGCGCTTTTTGGTGGTTGTCACCAGCGCCATTCCGGCATTCTGCAGCATTTAATCTGATTGAGAATGTTTTAGCTTTGAGCAATTTCCACAAAGATTTGGCCGCGCTTTGATGAATTAGCCACGATTATGTTAAAATTCGGCGAGATTTTGGATTTTGCTTCCATTTTTGATTAAACACGTTTTCTTCAAAATAATGGATTGCTTACCTAAATTATCTCCCCTTGCAATCTAACAGCCAGAAGAACTGTTACCTGCATTTAGGGAAAATTCAATTAAAACAAAAACAATTAATGTATTTATGGACCAATGTGTCACTTAAAGACAGAATAATTTTCTCAGTATTAGGTTATCACAATGTATGACAATTTCTAGAGATTTTGCAGAAATTTCAGCACATTTATTCAATATAAAAAGTGTGTAATAATGAACTTGATCTTGGAAACCTTATTTGTTGCTTTCTATGACCTTGTGTCATCTCTTTGAGGTAGCGTACTGTTTTCGTTGCAAAAGAAACTTCCAGGCTTCGAGGCAATAAAGTCATCCAGGGTTTTCAACTGTTCACCCACGAAGGCGTGCTGCTGAAGTGACCGGAATAAATGGTATTTGGATGTAGCCAGGTCTGGTGAACATGATGCGTGTGGGCGAACTTCCCATCCCAATTTCAAGAAGGTCTTCTGAGTCACACAGGCAGCATGAGGTTGAACGTTGTCGTGCAGCAGTATGACTTTTTCGTTTCCTTGCCCAGTAAATAGCCTTTTCTGATCACGTTCTTTTCTCAGATTCGTCAGTTGCCGGCCGTAGCATTCCACAGTCACTGTATAACCACTTTGAAGGGGTTCGTACAAAAGTGCACCCTTCAGGTCCAACTTGATACACAGGAGAACCTTCTACAAGTGGTTGTCCTGTTTTAGCATCGATGTAATGACTTACTCGTGATCAGTCCACGGAATATTGCGCTTAGGATTCTCGTAACAAAAAATATGCTTTTTACCACCCGTCACAAGTGTCCACAAACAGGCCTTGTTTTTTTGGAAATAGCTGTTTGTGTGACTTCTAACTAAGCTGTAAGCTTTTGTTGCATGAGCTTTGAGTCTTCATGCAGTAGCGCTTGCAATTCCGCATCTTTTAACCTTCGAGGCTGTCATCACTACTTCTAAAACGTTTGAGCCAATAATTACACGTTTCACAAGACGTAACGTTGGCACCAAGAAGGATTCTCTCCTTGATGGAAGTATCGCAAAATGCAGTGCCGAATGTGCTGCTTATTTATTGCCATTGTAAATTCTGCTATTCTGAGAGGTTATTTAACTCCCGTAGACCTGTCGTTTGGTGTTCTGAAGCCCTGCGTCTGATTCTTTCAAAACCACTACTGATCGCAAGAGTATTCACATTTTAAATATAAGATTAAGCCCAAAAAAATATCTGTACAATTTAAGTCATACACCTAATAGTTTAAATAGTCACATATTTTTGTAATCAAATTCATAAGAAAACCACCTTCTTGGCCTGATAATCCTTAATTAGCATGTTAAAATTTATTAAATTTTCAGTCCTTCTAGTTAAACTAATGAATTTGAGAAAATACTCATGCAATCACTCCGGTTTTTATTGAACCATCTTAAAGTTTATGTAAGGGCTACTTTCAAACACCGATACTAATATTTTAATATTTTGCTAAGAAAAATACATCGCCTTTGGCATAAAGTAATGAATACCACCACAGGTCTCTTAAATTAGGTTGAACGTGCACCTGACCACACCGATTAAACAGGCTGAGCAGTCCACACAAGGGATTAATGAACTGATCGAACATGAAACATTCTAGATGGGAATAATTTTCAGCGAGTATGGGCTGTGGTTATAACATGTCAATTAGAGTTTTTCAGTTTATACTGACGCATATTTTATCTAACTTACTACATTAGATATGCTTGGTCCTCTTTATAACAGATGTTTGGTGTATACAGCCCTGGCACTTATACCTTCTGGTTGTCACACGGTTTTAGGGGTTTGTGCGCAATTAAATTTGCGAATTGCCTATCAAGAGTATTTATTATAAGTTATAATGCGAATTTTTCGGCTCTGAAATACCATGAGTTCATGGTCCGCTGGTGAGTCCTGAAAGCTCTCATCGAACCCTGGGCCAAATTAAGGTGTAAATTCGCCACTTTCGGGAATGCTCGGGGTAGGCTTTCTCACAAAATAGCAAAATCTGGTACAAAATTTATAGACATCAAAAAATAAACAAGCTCACCACAAAAAGCCACCTATTTTTTAATTTGCAACTTCGCTTCCCTTCGTGTCTTAAGACAAATTAAGCACTGATTTCTTATCATTTAGACCTCCCCGTTAACCTAGAATAAGCAAGTTTGGGATACTGCGGGCATCTTGGGCTTTATTTTTAAGTTTGAATCCAAACATTTAGGTCCTTTTTGTCTTTTAAAATGAAGTTTAAATCATTGGCTTTACGAAATTATCTCCTGTTATTTTGCTATTACTACCTTTAGGCACTTAATTATGCAACCTTAAGTACATTAAAATCCGGCGTCTTTTGTATACAATGGTGAATGCCCTGACATTGTTTCATTCCAAATATTTATGTACTGGTTAACGTTGCTTACAACGACCCCTAGATATGCTTTTTATGAATATTGAAAATCCTTGCTCTGCATGAATCGACAAGTAATGAGTTACTTCCAAAACGCTCTACTAGAAAATCAAAAATTTCAAAGCTTCTATTTCCTTGCATAGAAAGCCATTTTGTTTACTAATACTTCCTAAAATTAAATTAAAACCTATTTTTATTCAGAGTTAAACAAATTATGGTAATTTTTAAAAAATCCTACAATTTTCCAATTTAGGAAAAATTTCGATCCCAGGAGTGCCATTTACTTTTTCATTCCTCAGCCCACATGATCCAAAGTACTTCTAGGCTCATTAGCGAGTAATTTTTAAAAAAATATATAAAAAATAGTTCTACTTGAAGCCTAGGCTTAATTATCGTCTGAAGGTCTTTAAGACAAAACCCTCAAAATATGAGAAACAATATTTTTAGTCTTAATGGTCTTTCTCAAGCGTCCTAAGTCAAAGACGTTTAATCCGTAACTTATTGCAATTTCAAGGATTTTGTGGCCTACTCATTTGTCACCTAAAAACCTGACTGGATGTTAATGGTTCTGACCGAAACTCTTAACAGTTGCAATATTTGCTAATCACTTTGTATCTACTCTACAGTTGAAACACCATCAAAATAAGCCTAAATTTCAGAGTATGACTGACCAAGAATTCTGACAACATTATGGAGGAGGCAAAACAGCAGCATTTTCCTACATCGGAGAAAATGCGCATCTTATTTACCATAAAAACCGATGGAACACAGCAAACAGGCAACAAATAATTCCAATAA